GAGGCCAGCCTGGTCTACAAAGCAAGATCCAGGACAGGCTCCAAAGCTATACAGAGAAACCCTGTCTCGAAAACACCAAAAAAAAAAAAAAAGTACATTCTATAGGAATACTTTAGTACTTTTTCAAATACCCAACTTAGCAAACACCTAAAAGAGACATATTACTTCTTACTCTTAACTAACTTACACTAGGAAGACTCTCTTAGCCAAGTCTCTATAGGGGTACCCTAAGCCTATATTTATAAACCTTACCTAAGTCTCACTTAAGTCTAAACCTTACCTAAGTCTTAGTTACATTCAATAGGTCCTGCACTATATTGCTACACTCTACCTTCCTTGTTTTTTATAGATAGAAGAGAGATCTATATATAGACAAATCTAACGCTGCAGCCTCACGGCATTTCACTGCCTTCCCTGTACTCCCGAGAATAAAATACTTTCATTTTCATAAAATACCTTCATTTCATAAAATAGCTTCATTGCCTTCATTTTTCAATTCCTTATCGGCATGCCTAACTCGCAACGCCCCCTTCAATCTTTTCAGCAAGCCCTAGGGATTTTTTTTTCTTTTTTTAACTTTTTCTTTGTCTCAGTTCAGCCACCATCTGTATCCTCATCCAAATGGATCTCAGCTGAACTGCTATTAAAAGCCTAAAAGCTTAACAAGGCTCCAGTTAGTGACCATGCTTGTGTCAGCAAGTCCCCCAACACAATGCATTCTCTGCACTACTGCATCCATATGCCTTTCTTTGTTAGGTCTCATAGCACCTCACGTCTGGTCCTCATGCTCCCCCCTATCCTGAGACTAGGCTCTGGATGCCCACCATATTGCTCTTTACTCTCCATTTCCAGAGCATCCCTGTATGGCCATTGTCATAGTCAGGGTTTCTACTGTTGGAGTAACATATCATGCCCAGAAGACACTCTCAGAGGAAGAACTTAATTGTAGTTTACACTCCCACAATGGAGTTCATCACTGTGGTCATGAATGCCAGGGCAGGAGCTCATGCAGAGACCGTGGAGGAACGCTGCTTACGGACTTGTTCCCCAAGGCTTTCTCTGTAGGCAGAAGTTCCCGTCCTGCAAGCAGCTCCCAAATGACCACACTGAGGCTTATATTAATTGTAAAATGCTTGGCCAATGGTTCAGGCTTGTTACTAACTAGCTCTTACATTGTACTTAACCGATATTCCTTATTTACACTCTGCTACATGGCGGTACTTTTAATAACATGGCATGTTCATCCTGCCGCCTTTGCATCTAGCTAGCAACTTTTCTAATTCTGCTCTTTCTCCTGCCAGCATTCTGAGTTTGGCTCCTCTGCCTAACCTCATCCTGTTCAGCTATTGCCTCTCAGCTTCTTTATTAAACCAGTCATATTGACAAATCTTCACAGTGTACAAAGGGATAACTCCACAGCATTTCTCAGCTAGTTTTCTAATAATATCCAGGAACACCAGCCCAGCGTACAATCCACGATGAGCTGGCCATTTCCACATCCATCTGCAATCAACAAAATGCTCCACAGGATTTCCCACAGGCCAATAGAGAGGTGGAATTTCCTCAATTAAGATTCCCTCTTCCAAAATGGCTCTAGCTTGTATCAAGCTCAAATAAAACTGGCCAGCACAGTCATATACACATAATCCCGACCCTTCAGTCACTGAGACTCTAAAAACAGGGAAATCTCAGGGGAGCAAACACCACAGCCTGTAGGTTTTCCTGAGACTTATCAGGACACAGAAGGCTCTAAAGCTGCAGATGACAGCAAGGGTGTTAGTCAAGTGTGAATCACACGGGGACTGACTGAGTAGTTTCCCCTCAAGAGTCCCAAGTCAGTGCTCCAATCAGGATCTCTTAGATTTCTGCATGGAGGACTGTAGGTGAAGTAGAGGGTCTCATGTCCCACAAGGTGTGGAAAGAAGAAGGGCAGAGAGAAGAGGGGCAGACATGGGGAGAAAAGCCAGTTTCATGGTTCTGGGCAGATTCCAAAGACTTTCATTTATCCATTCTCTCAAGTGTAAGTCATGCCTTAAGTGTAGGTGGCCTTTATACAACTCCTCAATATGGTCCTGACTCAATGAGAAGGAGGAGAACAGTGGACAGATTACAGCTCTACCTTAAGGCCTAAGCCTTGATTGTCAGCAGAGAGAGAATTGTGACCTGGAGCTGGGCTACTCTTCCTTCAAGTGGGTGGCTGCCTTGGTTCTGGCTCTGGTCCTATTTCTGCCCTGACCCTGTGTGCTGGTGTGCTTTTCTCCATGGGACACAATCAATAGTCACCTGGAGAGAGGGACCTCACTTGAGGAATTGCCTCCCTCAGGTTGTCCTGTGGGGTGTCTGTGGGTCTTTTTCTTGACTTCTAATTGATGTGAGACAGGCCAGCCCTCTGTGGGTGGTGACATCCTGGGCAGGTGGTCCTGGGTTGTGTGAGAAAGCAGATAAACCAGCCATGGAGAGCAAGCCAGGAAGCAGTATTCCTCCTCCATGGTCTCTGCTTCAATTTCCTCCAGGTTCCTGCTCTGGGCTCCTGTCCTGCAATGTAAGCCAGATAAACCCTTCCTCTCTCTAAAATCAGGAAGGCCAACTCTGGAAGGAGAACAGTGAGCTCCTCCAAGCATGTGACACATGGACATGGACCACTTACAGGACACTTCCTTCCAATTACACTTTGCTCAGTCACATCATGGGGCTCTTGAGCCATTACCTATTCTGTTCTAAGAACTGGTCCTGCGGCTTCCCCTAGTGGGGCCCAGGATGGTACTTATTCTTCCTTGGTGCTCAAGAAAGAACTTCTTAGATGGGTGCAACCTCAGTCTACACAGTGGAGAAATGCCATTGGTTTTTCTAAAATGTGATTTGTGCATAAAATTGCTTGTGTAGTGTGTGTGTGTGTGTGTGTGTGTGTGTGTGTGTGTGTGTGTGTGTGTGTGTGTTTCTGTGAGTGTGGAGGGGGAATCAGGACTATAGAGAGAGTGTGAATCCAGAAGGCTTCAGATTCAGGCCTGCCTTCCACTCACAAAGATTCTCCTGTTCAACTTGGTAGAATGCTAATATTGAGGAGTGACCCACCATGAACTGGTCTTGTTCTCTTTGCAAGGAGAACATGGGCTGACCTGAATGAACTGCATGTAGTTTCCCACATGAGAGAGCTTCATCCTGCCTGACCTGTGCTTTTATTGCTTTCCTGTTCTGTCTTGTCACTGGCTCTAAGCCCAGCCACATGACTTCTTCGTCACTCCCTGTCTATACAGACCTCCAGGTCTCTATGACTGGTACTGGTATTAAAGGCTCATGTCACCACACTTGGCTGCATCCTTGACCACACAGAGACTCTGCCTGCCATGTGATCGGATTAAGGGTGTGGGCTACCACCACCTGACTTCTGTTCCTGGCTTGCTATGACCTCTGATCTCCAGGTCTTTATTTATTAACATACAAATAAAATATCACATTTGAGCACAAATAAAATATCACCACACTATTGCATGCTAGTCTATTATCATGTGTAATATTAGTGTTTGTAAGTATTGGTCAAATATAAAATAATACCAAGGCATGGTGTCACACCCTCATATTTCCAGCACTGGAGATGCTGTAGGGAAGGAAAATGCCCTGAGCGAGTGAGTTCTGAGTAAGTGCGTACTGCTCACATGGGCACTGCCATGACAAGGACCTCAGACCCCAGGCAAATTGGCAAAGCCTTTCCCTATCCGGGTCAGGCTCAGAACTGGCAAAGCCTGAGGTTGGGTGTTTATGGAGGATGGATCAGTGTGAGCAAAACTCGCCACTGCAGCTTCCTGGAGGTCCCAGCCTGAGACGGCTGCCTTCAGTCCTCCTGCAGACTCGCCAGCCCCTTCCCCTTTGCTGCTCCTGACAGACATGCTGAGGAGGCAGGTCGCAGCGGAAGCAGCTGAGGCTGCATCAGAGCACACGCAGGCCACTGGATGCCAGCTTTTCTGTACATGCGTCTATCTGTCCTTTCTACATCCCCTCACTGACCCTAGTCAGGGCTTCAAACCTAAGTAAGATGTGCAATAGCTGTACCTGTGTGACACTGTGAGATCTTGTCTCAAAATAACTAACTAAAAAAAAATAAATAAAGAGTCTAGACATAGGGTCAGCTGGTAGAGAATTGCTTCTCATCTAGAAGACACAAATTGTGTTCCCAACTCCACAGTGAGTACCTCCCAACTGCCTGTAACTCCAGTTCCAGGGGACACAATAATCTGGACTCTATGGTTACTCCTACATACATGGAATACAGACATATACGCATGCAGATAAATAAAAAACAAATCTTTAATAATGAAATAAGTATAACAGTTGATCCTGAGACATGGAAGATCATTTTCTATTTCCAGCCACATTGGGAATCATGGTTTAAACATAGCAGTTTCGCCTGTGGCTCCATATCTTCCATGTTCATACTGAGGGAAGAAAAGTCAGGCACCTATGGATGTTGCTCCCCATGACAAGGCTGTACTGAGCCTAGGAATCTTCCTTCTCCTAAGGATTCATGACCTCAGCTACACTCACATACCCCCAACTACAGAAACAGATGTAGGCTTCACAGAGCTTTGTCAGGCTTTGTGGATGTCCAATAGACAACGACATCCACAAGAAAGGTAGGCAGGTAGCTCACAGGAAGGAACAAGAGCTTGGCATCCCAACCAGCCGAGTACCGAGTGCGAGGGTGACAGGAAGTCAGCGCGTGCTCCATGCAGTCCGTCACCAAGGAGAGGTCCTCACTGCAGTTTTGATCCAATAAGTTTATCACTGACAGATCTATGCAGAACGAGAAGTGATTCAGCTGGTGTTGACCTCCACCACCCCTGCTCTAGACCAACAGAGAAGAAAGCTCTGGAACCCATGCCTCCCACATCAGAAGCCATGCTCAAGACTAGCCTGTCCCAGGTCCTCAAGAGGAACACCACTCAGTTTCAAGGAAGAAGCCTACATACTTGCCACCTGGGTCTCTGTTCAGGGAAACAGCCTAAGCTCATACAACATCACTGCTCCCTGACTCAGGCTTCATTTTCATGTTATGATAAGAAGGGGTTCAAATGAAACAACGCTCTGTGTTCTAGAAGCCAGGACCTCTCTATGTGGTGAGATACCCACCTGGTACCAAGGAAACAGAGCTAAACATGATCATTTTGAGAACACCTTGGGGTGACTGCTCTCAACACTAACATGAGACTCAGAATTCTAGACTCATGCCAGGCGGTGGTGGCGCACGCCTTTAATCCCAGCACTCAGGAGGGAGAGCCAGGCAGATCTCTGTGAGTTCGAGGCCAGCCTGGGCTACAGAGTGAGTTCCAGGAAAGGCACAAAACTACGCAGAGAAACCCTGTCTTGAAACTGTGCTCCCCACCCCAAAAAAAAGAATTCTAAACTCATGTTTGCTTGGGTCCCCAAAATCCACTCACAAGATGACAAAAACTTCTCGCCATAGACCTCTTTGACTTCTGAGCTGGCCTGGTCCCACACCATCTTCACACTTGACGATAACCTGTCACTACTGGTCACACAAGTCTTGAAGCCTCCGGGCTCTATAATAGCCACCTTCACCCCAAAATAGGAGAGCTCCCTCCTGCAAGACAGACAGACGTCAAGGACCTCAGATGACTATCTGTAAGAGAACTCACAATAAGCGTACAGTGACATGCCAACACGAGCCTGTGGTGAGGAGAGGTCACAGTTGTGGATCTGGGTTGTGCAGCAGATGGGGATGAAACTGTGACGAGGGCATTGCCTCTGTGCTTTGGAATGTCACACTAAGAGTTTGGTGTGTGCATCGCACTGGTCTAAACCTAGACTCCAGGTAAGACATCTCTGTACACTCTGGGTACAAAGGGACACCCTTGCCTAAGTCACCGCCCCCAAACCTGTCCCAGGAAGCTCTCAGTCAGCTCCCCATGGCTGCTTTCTTATTGCCTCACATTTACCGTCACCCCAGTCCCTGCAGCCTACAGGTTACCCGGCACAGAGAGCTCCCCTGCTTCAATCTCTTCCAATTTGCCTTGCAAAGATCATGGAGTACATTCTTGTCCGTGACTCTCAGGCTCCCCATGTGCCTGCATGCGCTCACCTGCGCAGCCTCCTGCCTGTATCACAGACTCATCCTTTTGTCAACAGCCAACAGGACATTCCATCAGCCAATGGCCACCTAGAGCCTGAGACAGACAGATTTTCCCACCAGCCTTCCTAACCAGGATGCTAGGTTCCCTCTTGGACCCTTTACTATAGGGCCCCAAATCTGATAACTACTGAGGAACCAGAGATAGCCACTCCAAGTGGCTCCATAGTCTCTGTCTCTGTCTCTCCCTCCCTCCCTCTCCCTCTCCCTCTTTCTTCTTTCAATTTCTCAGTTGCCAGAGTTTTTAAGATCTGGGAGAACGCCTTCTTGTGAGTCCAGAATAAGTTGACTATCAAATCTAGCAAGAGTCTAGAAACTACTATGTGAGCTGAGTGAGATGCTCAGCCCACCTCAAGGATATCTTCAAGTTGAACATCATTAAAGGTCACAAGGATCTGGACTCTTCCCAAATTACCATATGTCTGACTTTACATCAAAAAATGTTCTGCTTGTGCACCCTCCTCCAGAGCAAGATTGTTGTGAAATATTATTTTAAAGTACGTTATATATTTCCCACTGCTTTTGTTAACAATTCAAAGATGTGTTTGATTAAATAAAATTAACCTCTGACAGGAGGCTGAGTCAGCAAGTAGCTGACAGGAAGTGGTAAGGAGGAGCCACGTGAAGCAAGGATTTTTTAAGGGAAAGCTAAGAAGACACTGGGTTCTTTGGAAGACACCAGCAAAGGGAGAAGATTAACTACTTGCTATTCAGCCTCTCCTCTGAGCGAGCAGAATTCCACCCCAAACTTAGAATTGTGAGTTCTTTAGATTCAGATAAAGTTTCCCTTAGTAGCTTTGAAAGAGTCGGTGCCAGAAGGAACAGAATCCCCTCAGGCTGTGACCCTCGTGGTGGAAGCCTTTGCTTAAGGGGCAGCCACTGTAGATAATAAAAAGAACAATTGGTGCCCAATGGGTGGTAAAATCACATGGAAGGAGGGGTCACACAAGCCGGCTCTGCTGCATCTGCTGTCTGGACCTCTCCACCTAGCAGTCAGCTGCCACTTGCCTGGAGAGGTCAGCAGAATTGGTGAGAGATTTGGGAAATCCTTTAGGAGAATAGGAGAGAGTTTAAAAGAAATTTTTTTCTACATTAAGAATGGGAAACTTAACCATGTAGGGTGCTAGGGCTCTCTATACTGCTACCTTAGCTGGCTTGAAGTTAGAATATGGGAAGATAAATGATTTAACTGACACTGATATAATACCAATAATAATTACTGTCAGTATGATAATTAATATCTTATCAATAATAGCATTGGTGGGTTTTGTGTGTGTGTGCTACATATGACAAGTGGATTAATAGGATGCAGGCCTTGGAAAGATATACTAATGAAAAAGAAGAAAAATGCTCAGACACAGACCGAGGAATTTAGAGCAGAATTCACACCATTGCATTGTGAAACTGGAGAGGAATGACCTAAAGTTATTAGAATACCAACTTGAATACATCCAGTTACTGTTCAACAACAACCACCAGATGATACATATCCCCAAGGCTATGCACAGGTTAATTGGAGTCCCATAGATATATTAGCCTTAAAGAGATTTAAGGAAGCAATACTTTCATTTGGTATGCATTTACCCTTTGTCATGCAGATGTTAAATTCATGGACAACTAGGAAAAAAATTATTCCAGAAGACTGTAAGGATTTAGTTTTAGCAGTATTAGAAGCTGGTCCTCAATTACAATGGAGAACTTGATGAAGAGAAGAAGCCAGGGCCCTGGAACAATGAGGTAGAGATGGAAATCATGAGATTTCCCAAGACCAAATTCTTGGTGAGGGTCAGTATGCTGATTTAGAAAGACAGTGTATGTTAGATGATAACACCCTGATTCTATGTCATCTAGCAGCTTTGAATGCTTGGGACAGGGTTGAAGAATCAGGAAAGAGGATTGAATTATCTACTAAAATCACAGAAGTCCCAAAAGAAACTTCCACTGTTTTTTTTATACACAGATTAACATCAGGTATAAAATAGAATGATATCTGATCCAGTCTCTAGACAAATATTAATTGAAACTTTGGCTTTTGAAAATGCTAATGCAGAATATAAAATGGTTATTAGGCCTTTAAGAGCAAGATCAGCACCCATAGAAGAATGGATCAGAAATACAGTCAATACTAGCTCCTATACTTTTAATGATGATACTTGGATAGGAGCACTGCTTTCTGAAAATATGAAGAAAAGTCAAAATGTTAAGTATTTTAATTGTGGTAGACAAGGTCATCTGAGAAGGGAGTGTAGTCAAGGTGCTCCTAGAAATGATGTTTATTCTAAAAATAATTCAAACAGAAGGCCTCAGCCTTCTGGAGTATGCAGAAGGTATGGCAAAGGCCAGCACTGGACTAATGATTGTAAACAAACAAGAGACAGGCAGGATAATCCTTTGACATCAGGAAACACTTGTCAGGGCCTCTCACAGGCCCCAATATCAAATGTAGTTCAATCATTTCCTGCTAGCACTGGGGAAAATCCTCCACAAAATGATTAAATGATTTAATGCCTGTTGTTAAAAACCATACTGATCTGGTTGCCAAAACAGCTTTAGAAGATAGAACAAAATTTTCAAGAGAAACCATAAAGCAAATATTTTGGCAAACTTCTATAAATGATCAAAGACCAAAGTTCAAAATACAAATAAATGGCATAAAAATTGAGGGTTTGGTAGACATAGGTGCAGATGTAACAATAATTGTACCAAAACCATGGCATCCAGGTTGGCCTCTTCAAGAAGTAAATGTTTAGCTTTTAGGAACTGGCAGTTTGTCTCAAGTAAAACAAAGTACAAGATGGGTTGAATGTATAGGGCCAGAAGGACAGAGAGGGAAAAAAGCCATATGTGGCTAATATAGCAATGAATTTATGGGGGTGTGATTTAATACAGCAATGGAATACTCAGATTAACATTCCCACAAATTCAGAAACAAACTATAAAATAAGGAATGCTTCCAAGAGAAATACCAAAAGATACTATCAAGGACAGTCACAGACCATTCAAGCTGAACATAAGCAGGGCACCACAGCTGTTGGTATTTCAAAGGTACCAACAGCCCTAACTTTAAAATGGCTGACTGACAAGCCTGTTTGGATGAGCAATGGCCTTTGACATCAGAAAAATTATAGACCTTAGAACAGCTGGTACAGGAACAGTTAAATTTCAACATATTGAAGAATCAACCAGTCCTTAGAATTCTCCTGTATTTGTCATTAAAAAGAAACCTGGAAAATGGAGAATGGTAACAAAACTAAGAACTATTAATAAAGTGATTAAGCCAATGGTCTCTTTACTATCTGGAATTCCCCTGCCTTCTCTATTACCTAAAGGATGGCCTGTTATAGTTATTTATTTAAAAGATTGCTTCTTCACTATACCTTAACAAGAAAGGGATAGAGAAAAATTTGCCCTTATGGTGCCTACTTATAATAATTCTCAGCCTGTTAAGACATACATATTAATGGAAGGTTCTCCCACAATGGATGTTAAACAGCCCTACCCTGTGCCAATATTTTGTTAGACAGTCATTGGAAATAATTTATGTACGGTTCCTCAATCTATAATTTACCATTTCATGGATGATATTTTACTAGCTGATTCAAATGTAGATACTTTAGAGAAAATGTATAAAGAAGTAAAGAAAATTTTGCCTTGCTGGGAATTACAACTTGCTTCTGAAAAAGTACAAAGAGGAGATTCTTTTGTATTAATTACTTACTTGGGCTATTAAATAGGTTTACAAAAAATTCAAGCCCAAAAGGTACAAATCAGAAGAGATCAATTGTGGACTCTCAATCACTTTCAAAAACTATTGGGAGATGTTGCCCATCTACAACCCACTATTGGAGTAACAAATCCAGAACTGAGTAGTTTGTTCCAAGTCTTCAAAGGTGACAAGGACTTAAATAGTCCAAGGGAATTATCTGCTCAAGCTGAGAGAGAATTGGCTTTGGTGGAAAGGAAATTACAGGATGCTCCCATGGATCATTTGGATCTGGAACTTGATTTCTTTCTGGTATTTTACCCTCTA